CGAGGCTCGCTTTGGGGGGGTTTCCCCCCTCCCCCCCCCGGACAGGGCTCGTCGCCGCGGCAACGCCAGCTGGCTGCCCTCACCCAAAATGGACCCCAGGGCTTCATCCCCCAGGGGCCATCTTGAGCAGGGCCCTCCTGGCGGCAAGGGGAAGGCCGCGGCCATCTCGCCCTGCTTGCCCCGAGCGCCCCACGCTGAGGAGGAGGCAGCAACCATCTTCCCTCTCGCCCCGCCTGAGGCGCCATTTTGGAAGCGGGCGCCTCCCCCCTGAGGCGATCCCGACCCGCAGGCCCGGAATTAAGGGTTTTTCATCCCAATCGTAATGTCTCCCGCAAATATTTCCTCCCCAAAGCAAATTTCCCCAGAGACAGTGAGGAAAACTTAAAGAAAAGCAGCGAAATCGTGGTGTTGTATCCTCCATCCTCAGGCTTCTCCTGCAGCAAGAGGGACGCTCCTGGTAGGGCTTGTAAATCAGGGGAAGGGCTATTGCGTGGGTGCAGGGAGGTTTTGGGTTATTTTTCCCTGAATTCAGGTTCCTCGAGCTGATCCACGACACTCGTCGTGACGTGGTGAAGAGGCTGACGCAGCAGAGAGGCCGATGGTGTGAAAACCGCCCCCGAAAAAATCCTCTCTCTCGCACCTTCACACCAGAAACCCCCAGTTCAGTGACCACCACCCCGAAAATGGATTTCTGAAGGAAAAAAAAGGTGCACAGGAGGTTCCTCCGACTTCTTTTTTGCAATATTTAATCCTTTATGCTGGAAAACGCGGCAGCTAGGTGACGGGTGAGCGAGCCCAGGGCAAAAATGTGCCCCTTTCCACAAAAAAAGCACTAATTTTGAGACAAAACGGGCTGCCTTGAGGGTCTGCTGCGACCCAGGGCAGCTCCAAACCTGCCTGGCATCTCCTTTTGTTAACAAAAAAATGGTTTAAAAATGATAAAAACCAAAGCCGGGCAAACCACCCACTGGCTGATAGCGCCGTGAAGGCATAATTATGATTGTGAAGCTGCGATTTAAATTAATTAAACGCTGCAGGGGTTGCTGGGGTGCGTTTCGAGCACCCACATCCACCCCCTGGGGTGCTCCCAGCACCCTGATGCCTTTGGCACCCCAACCCCGGCACCTTGCTGGCACCACCCCCCACATCCTATAAGGACCCAGGCATCTGGGCTTCCCCCCATGCCAGCAACCTACAGGGACACAGACCTCC